CAAAATTAAATATCGACGAGGAACTATATCGAAAAGAACTGTATAAGCAATCATGTACGACTAAACCATCATAAAATGATTCAACCCTAGTTGGATATATTTAGCTTCAAATGTTATTTTTTTTAAGTTGAAGCGACTGATGAGTGGAATAAGCTTCCAGAGTGGGTTGTTAACTCCCCTAACATGTGCCACGTTGAACCTTCATTAAAACATCAGTTTTCGTAATAAACAAAAGCGTATCTCTAAAAAGGGAGTGTATATCACGGTGCTAACATTTCGCATATTAGGTTCTTATACGTGTAATTTTGAGCTGAAGTTGTATTATGCTTTTCTTCTGTTGAGTTCCCGTGCTTTTCAGAGGTGCCAATTTTGTGCAATTTTCTAGTTACATCTTGCTTCTTGCAAGTTTAGTGCAATTTGAAAAGTCTTTATCAACCCCCCCCCCCCCCCCTCCGGTAATCTAAATCGAGAGGATTCCGACAATATTGATAAATAAATGCGATAAAAAAATCTAAAAAAATCACGCTACTACTCCAGCGGGTTAAGGGGTGTCCAAACAGGACGCTACAAAACTCACGACTCCGGCAAATCGTGCCGCGCTCTGCCGCGATCCGCTTGCGGCCGTCGGAGGAAAATTTCCCTGCGTCAATTCTTCCCGGGGGGAAACTTCCCTCCGTCAAATCTCCCCCTCGCTTCCTCCACGGCGGCCTTGCTCTGCTTATCACGTGGGTCCGGAGAGCCACTCACACGCTCTGTTGGCTGTTGTTCAATCGCTCAAGGCCTCCGCTCACAATACGGAACCGCGTCGGACGCCATCACGACGAAAGTGAATCTCGACAAAGAAAGCAGGAATGTCCCAAATCCACCCAAAGCCGGACCTCCTTGGCCTTCGAGCCGAGGCGATGGCGGTACGCGAGGGCGTTGGCGAGGTGAGACAGACGCAGGTGGCGTGTGACGTCAATCTGAAGAGGAGAGCAGTCGTGATCGTAAAAATTTTCACGACTCCTGCAAACATTTTCACGACTCCGACAGACCGTAAAAATAGAAGCGTCCGCTTCAATTTTCACGATTTGTCGGAGTCGCGGGTTTTGTAGTGTCCTGTTTGGACACCCCTTAACTGTACTCCGTTCCCAGCGGACGGAACGAATCATCTTAGCCAATCCAGCGCTGTGAACCCCTCACGTGACCACTACGCATCCCGCACGTATAGACCTTTTCCGTGTACTCTCGTCCCCAGCCCCCTAATAGGCGTATCCGGTATGGGCGACGAAAAAATAATACAACCTTTCAACCTGCAAATAGCAAAAAAATAGAGGGGAGGCATAACGAGAATGTTTGGCGGTGACGTTTATATAGGAAATGCCTTCTATTGACATGGCGATGGCAAAACAATGATTTCGCCCATACTGGAAGTGACGACAATTCAAGATGGCGGCGCCCTTAGCGAATGTCACGTGGTACTTCCTCGGTATGGGATTGGCTTCAGTGCCACCTTCGCGGTCCATCGTGTACTGAAAGAGTATCGGCTACCGGGCAATGCTGCTTGATTTGACCCTATCTATAGCGACGGAAGCAAGAAATGCTGGGTAAGCCACGAAGCCGTGGGTGCATGCCAGTACGGCAGAAGCTACGTCCCCTGCGGGCCAATCGGAACGACGAAGTGAGGCACGTGACTGTACGCGTATCGACGGAATGCGCTTTTACCGCGAAGAAGTATCAGGCTTTTTGCTGCGTCATGCTCCAATGTTTGCGCGCGGCGCTCGTACACGTAACGCATATCGAAGCCGTGGGACGGCAATGTAGGGCGCAGCGTTCACCCTCGACCAATTTTCATCGAGAAAGGGCATAAGTGGGCTCCCACTCTGACGGCGCCTCCTGTACGTTGCCACCTGCGGCCATAAAGGGAGGAATTTTGAGGCCTCGCCTGTTATCGCGACTAGGGCCAGGGCCATATCTTATGATATCAATCCTTGTAACGCGGTTACGAAAGCATCCAGGCTTCGGCGCGTCGCAATTACGTTTTATCATTTCGGTACAGCTGCTCTTGTTTAATGCTAGCTGCGCTCGCCGCTGACGCGTGTTGCAGCAGCTGTGCATGGGCACCGCCATAACTGATCTTCAGTTTTTGTTTCCCCTTATTACGTTCACTTCACTTCATTATTACAATAGCAGGCCAGGTTATTGCCCTCTTAGATTTTATTCTGTCTTTTTCCCCAGCATTGGCTTTTGTGGAGGCTCGCCCACACCAATTTCAGTGGCTCGGTATCTCGGTAAAACAGGAGAAGGTCAGCAATGGCGGCTGTATTCTGGCGCATGAGTAAAGCGTCTATACTTTTTTGCGGTACGATTTACTTGCTCTGCCCAGACAAACCACCAAAATGTGGATAAAAAAGTGAAAGCCGTTTACAACTCCCTGTAACACCGAATTAGAGCGCAGCTCTTGAGGAGGAGGAGGAGGGAAGGGTACTGGGGGGTGAAGTGACCTGGGGGGGGGTCACGTGACCTTGGGGAGTCATCAGTGACGATGACGATGCGGACTCCGATGACGTCATCTGTGATGATGACGATGACGATGCGGATGCCCCCCCGAAGTCACGTGACACCCCCAGGTCACGTGACCCCCGCCGAGGTCACGTGACCTCCCCGATGACGTCATCGTCACTGATGACGTCACCGGCATCCGCATCGTCATCGTCATCATCACAGATGACGTCATCAGTGACGTCACTGATGACCTCACCGGCATCCGCATCGTCATCGTCATCATCACTGATGACGTCATCAGTGACGTCACTGATGACGTCACCGGCATCCACATCGTCATCGTCATCATCACTGATGACGTCATCAGTGACGTCACCGGCATCCGCATCGTCATCGTCATCATCACTGATGACGTCACCAGTGACGTCACTGATCACGTCATCAGTGATGATGACGATGACGATGCGGATGCCGGTGACGTCATCGATGACGTCATCGGGGAGGCCACGTGACCTCGGGGGGGGGGGTCACGTAACCCTGGGGGTGGTCACGTGACCTGGGGGTGTCACGTGACCGGAAGGGGGGTCACGTGACCTCGGGGGGGGGGGGGGGTCACGTGACCTTGGGGTGACCTTGGGGGTCACGTGACCTTGGGATGACCTTGGGGGCCACGTGACCTTGGGATGACCTTGGTTACGCCGACGCCGACGGCGACGCCGACGGCGACGGCGACGGCGACGCCGACGGCGACGCCGCTCAAGCCGGGAACGGGCCCCTAAGAGCTGCGCTCTAAAAAGAAAATACTTTCAGCGGCTATGCGGCAAAGCGTGTGCGGTGCGCATGCTCTCAGTCATCGATGAAAAGCTGTGCACGCGAACTCCTCCTTCAGAAATGCCACAGAAAGGTTTTTTTTTTTTTTTTTCGAAGTATACGATCATTGAGGGCCTAAGAGACGTAGGGAGAGACCTAATATATATATCCTCGTTTCTAACTTCGTGATTGGTTATTTGGCGTTTATAGCGGCTGATTAACGCAACCTTATTGGCTGCAGAGAGGCAATATAAGATGCTAGGGACCCTGACTCCCCCTGCGTCTTTTACGTTGACACTGACTATACTTACTGTATTATACGGGGCTATTAAAAAAAAGCAAATTTTAAACTTTTAATTAAAAAAACTCTTAAAAGGAAAAACACGTTTCGCGCATCGCCGGAAAGAGGAAGGTTCGAAGTTTTTAGGTGTCTTCCTCTACGAAGCGAAATTTCGTCTGCCTCTGGCGCAGGGGTTGCGGGGACGTCAGCAAGACGAGCTCTGGTTGTCTCGATTGGAGGGACAGTGGGTATGCTTCGAAGCTGCTAGCGTCGAGGTCTACCATCTATCTTTCCAATCGCGCCAATCAGCGCAAGAGGCAGACGAAATTTCGCACTTCGCATAGAAGTTTCGTTCAATATGCCACACGGAGGCGCTGTTTATTGTTGACGGGAAAAATGGCGACAACAGTTGTCTTGTGGGAATGCGGCTTGCAGAGCAAATATATTGGCACATTAAAGGAAGGTGCTTGTCTCGCACTCAAAACGAGCACCACGCATTCCTCGACAAACTCAAAAACTGTCGTCCCTCTCTTGTCAAACGCGAATACTACCGTGACTTTGAACTTTCCTCCATCTGGTGATGTGCGGAGTGTGTTCCTGGCTGTTTATAGTTCGTTTACCCTAACGGATTCTCAAGGACAAAAAAAAAGTAAAGATTATTATTACAAAAATTAATCTAGATAAGTATTCAAACGCAGAATTTAAATTGTACTAAACATTTTAAAAATATTCAGGGGTGGGCAAACACACACTTTATTTCAAAAGTCAACATTCGAAGAATTATTGGCAAACCATAATTATTGTTAGGAGGAAAACTCACCCGGCATAAATTGAAACGCATGGGAACTCTGAGATATTCACACAGAACAAAATAAAAACGAGAATGGTGCTGATGACTACAACATGCTAGAGTTATGACACACAGGACACTAATTCAGAACGATATACAGTATGCTTTAAAATAATTATAACGTAGTTACACGGACATTAAACAGGGGACTAAGGATTGTAATGCTCGTAATGACAATGTGCAATACGTATGACGAGAGAAACCGCATAACGTTGTAGTTTTATTTCGTTCTTTCTGGTTTCTTATTTTGCACGTCGTGGCGTCGTTTCTTTACGCGCGACTATTCTGGCGCCTGGCCTGCTCAGAACGGATCGCGGATTGTGGCATGGAGACCCCTGGCACCAAATAAAGTTTATAAGTTTATCGTTCCTTTTCAAAAAGCCCTGTAGAGGCGGACAGACATATTCAATTTGTTTTCTTAATCACTGTTCACACGCGCGGAAAAATAGTTTCCGAAATAGCGAAGCATATAGATAGCGTCTGTCCCTTGCTGTTCCACCGTCAGCGCCATCGCCCTAGCGTGACGTCACAAATCGGTTGACAGATGCACTGCCCAGGCGATTCTCAGAGGCTTACCGGTTCGTATCGGGTAGAGTCCGGTGAGCAGCGCAGCCCTGGAGGGGGTGCACAGATGCTGAGCGTAGTAGCTGTTCAAGATGACGCCGTCTGCCGCCAGGGCGTCCAGATTCGGCGTGGGGATCTGCGACGATCCGTGGAAGCTCACGTCGTTCCAGCCCTGCGTGTAGTCGTGTCTTAATTTATAGCAAGTATCAACCAACATTCGACTGTTGCAGGTTAAGAAAAGCGGGAAAAGCCTCTCCCAAAAAGCTCCACGCAAGCCATGACTACTGGCTTCCTCCTCCGAACCTCCTCGTCTCCAGGCGATTGCACTGCCATAGTGGGAATAGTGGAAGGCTTTAAGGGAGAAGCTCGTCCTTCTTTTCTTAACCTGTAGCAGTCTATAGAAATCCATTTGTCTCAGGTCTGAAATAAAGGATCAAGTGAATGCGAATTCCTTCTTCAATGGCGTAACGCAAGAACGCCATTGCCAATGATGAAAATGATCGGGAGCTAGAATAGCCCTCACCATAAACTTCAAGGACGGAAAAACTAAGGCTAAAAGATAATCTGGTATTATGAGATGTAATTGTATTTGTTTCACCAGTTAGAACTTTCATACATGATATTCCCACGGGAAAGTGAAATGAAATATGGGGATAGTTTTACATGCTTGTCTACTGCTGAATTCCAGTACATTAAGTTTTCAAGATAGCGTCAGCAATATAGGTAGAGCCTTATAAGAACGGCGGCAATTTACATGCGCCGCATGTTGCCACATGACCCGGATATGATTTATAGCACCCGCTCTTTGGGAGAAAAAATGACGAAGGGTTGTATGCATACCAGGTCGTCTGCTAGAATCATCACGATATGTGGAGACTTCACTTTGGCAGCCTGCGATGAAAGCGGCAGCGCTGTCGCTAAAATCAGCAACGCTGCTCCATATGCTTGGGCACCCATCACTGGAGGCAAGAGCAAGTGATCGGTGTGTATTTCAGCACATATCTTGTGTGTGCGCAATGTTTGACACTGTTTGCGTATCTCGTCTGCTCCGTTTGTGTTTTTTGCGTTTCTACATTACGATCAACGAATGCAAACGACCCCAACTCGCAACGTTACTCTAGTATTACGCTTCTGTATGATTAGAAACTCAAACAGTAAGCATAACCCAGGGCTGAACACAGATACTCCAAAAAGCAGTCGGGATTACAAATACTGAGATGCGTTTATTTTTAGGCACAAAATGCAGATGCTGAGATACATTTGTCTTTTATGCAACGGGATATCCCTGAGATACTTCTGCAAAAACAGCGAAAACGTATTACGGAATATAGATGCAGAAACTTATAGAAATATATCTGTTCCCGAACGGTACCGCGTGGAGAGGGTATGGTGAATGCAAATGGTAATTTAGGCTTGCGCTCCTTCTTTTCTGGCATTTTATGCACTTACCCTTATCTCGAACTTTTATTTATCAAAAATACCGCTAAATCTTATGTCACCCCGGTGAACCACATAGTTTCTGAACGGTACCATGCTTGACGAAAAGCGTCTACAGGGTTCCACGAAAGGAACCCTGTATCGGCGAGAGGGCGCCCCTCAAGCTGCCGTCTTATTTGCTTCTCAGTCGTCCATACTCTGGGGACATTGGACAACGAAGCCCGTGCCTTTTCTCCACTCAACTCATTTACAGCCTTTGCTCTGCTGAATTGGAAAGAGTGTAGGGCTTTGTGGGAAGAGCTTATTCTGGTACTCTTGCAAGTAACCTTCTTCTTAAAACAGAGGTCTCTTGTTATTTTAACGTTGGTGACTGTGATGGATCAAAGGCCGGGTTCACGTTATATATTCTCAAGCAGACTTGTACCGTACGCATTACAAGTAATCAAATTACATGTAATCGATTACTTTTTGGAGTAATTTTGTAACCAGTTGATTACTTTTATTAGGCAGTAATCACAAGAGTAATCTGATTACTTTTTGAAGTAATACAATTACTTGTAATCGTTACAATTTGTCCACGGGACCCCCCCCCCCCCCCCCCTCCATCTTTTTTTTTATGAAAAGAAGAAAAAAAAATTTGCTGTTTTTTTGCACGTAAAAAAGAAAGTATTTTGCGGAGCTGTAGGAAACGAGATTAATCTCATTGTATGTACAGTTTCTGTAAAATGTCCGTTTCTTTCTTTCTTTTTTTTTTTGTTTTTGAGCTGGGATTGGGAGTGGAAAGCCCCAGGGAAGCCACAGTGCATGACAAAGGCCATTCAGGGCGAAGTTTGAGGAAGCAGATTTCTAGCTTTGTGAGTCCTTCGTTCAAACTAGACCCCTCACGCACACCCACACAGAAATAAAAAAATAAAAAAATCCTGCTTAGGGTACCTACTCGCAGCCCATAGGAGAACCAGAACCGAAGAATGCCTGAAGCGGATGCAAAATATAACAAAGGCAGTTGAAATATTTCCCCATTTCCTCTACGTGGTCTTTGTGACAAGCAATGTTTCGAGTTGAGAAGTGGTCGGGGCGATCTCTTCCGCTAATGGATACTACACATGATCCGTTTCAAATCCTGGAGCTGCTGCTCTTTTGTATAACATGCGAGCTAATCCATCTGTGAATAATAAAATTAGCGACGCAAACTTTGAGCGACAAGCCTTGCTCCAGCTTAACAAGATCTAGAACCCCCTCCGTCCCCCCCCCCTCCCCCACACACACACACACTGGCCAACGCCCAAATCATTAAACGTCTTCAAACAAATTCTATTCTTGTGTCCGCATTGTGAAGGTGCAAAGACCACGAAGAGGGAGCCAGTTTTTCTTCTTCAATACTTGTGCAAATGTGAAATATAAGTTGGAAGTAGTTCATTGTTATGAGCGCTAAAGGTGTACGTCTTCACACAATAAAGTAATCGGAAAAGTAACGATTACTTCTTTAAGTAATGTCCAATTACTTTTGCCGCCGAGTAATCAAGTAATCTAATCGAATACTTTTTAGCCAAGAGTAATAGTAATTGTAATCGATTACTTTTTTTTAGTAACGTGTACAAGACTGTTCTCAAGCACTTGCACCAAGCAGATATTTCCGTCTTTTAAATTCATCGTAAAAAAAAGTAACAAACGGAACGAGACACCTAAGTCTGACAAAGTATCGCGATGCAAGTGATGCACTGTAAATGTATTTCACTATTGAAATACAAATACATTTTCAACTGTATCTCGATACAGCGTTACAGATACTCGAAAGTATCTCTATGATACTATCGCGATACATTGGTATCGCGATACTGCTTAACCCTGCCACAATCGCTAGCCCGTCGACCTGGGTGGTACCGCTGAAATATCTACATTTTAAAAAATCTGGAGTGTCGACTTTTTACAAAAGCACTCGGAAGGGCCAATCACTTCAAACTACGAAGGAAGCTTTGCGAATATGACGGAGCTGATACTATGACTAGACCTAAACTTCTGTGCTGCGTGGCACGGAACGTGACGCTTTCACCGTGCTTTATGATCCAACGAAAACATCTTTGTTTTTTTTTAGGTTTAAACGTATTTTTAGCTTCATCATTCACCAAGCTACCCTTTATGTACCGCAGCGATTGGCTTTCCCAACTGCTCTGCGGAAAAGCAGACGGTCCAGATTTCTTAGAGTGTACTTCGTTGGGACGTGCAGTGCTTCGGGATTGGCTGCCCTCAAAAAACGGTCGAGGTTTGCCAATATCGCTGGCTTCCTAATTACGGACCACGAATCAATTTTCAAACTTCCTATATATAGTTCCGAAGGAATCATTGCCATTCTTGTCCAACGAACCGCGCGCTAACGTTTTTTTCTTTTTTCCTTCATGACAGGGTTCAGCAAAGGCGAAAAAAAAAATAAACAAAATGTTTCTGTTTTTTTTTTTTTTAAATAGCTGGTTTCTTACTACTGGTCCTTTATGCTTTATGATTATCAATGGACATATTGCCCATTCATAACGAACGTTTTAAAGTAAAACACGTTTCGACGGATTCGCCTTACCTGTCGAAAAAGTGCTCGGAGAATGGCAGGTGTATTTTGTCTACTGACGTTTGCATTATCAGTTTAACCGACGCATGTGGAGAGCTTCCTCCTCTCTTTCGGCATCATGAGGAGAGTGCAGTGAGACTACGGTGTGCCTCTCCTCGCCATTTATGAAACCTTACTGCGTCCTTCCTTGACGTCCTACCAATGAGGTACACTGATTTCGACCCAAATGCTTTTACGTTATTCATCCACATGATGACGTGCGATCAGATGAATCAAAAACAGACAGACAGATACGGCTGTACTTCTGTTTCTCTTCTCTCCCTGAAAGGAAATACATCTAAACGACGATATAATTAAGTTAACCTTATGATTAGGAGTTCGGTGAAAAAATAATAAAGTAATGACTTAATTAAAATCACACTGAACTGGAAAAAAAACAACTAATGTGCCTAAATGAGACACGCAGTTTTTGTCCTTAATCTGCGCAAAAATTTAAAAAAAAATCGCGCTATATTTAGGTCGTTAGACGCAATTTAGGCGGAGCGGAGCACACGGTCGCTCTAAGCCACATCCACAGATCAGTAAACTCGCCTCTTACTACTGCATTAAAACTTGGGTTTTGGCTAGTTGGCCGATACTAATTAAAAGGTTTGAAAAGAAAGAACAAAATGAGGACGAACACACAAGGACAACAGGACAGGCGATAAATATCAACTGATTTTATTAGAAGTAATATACGCACACCCCTCTGCCCACCATGTATCACAACCAATCATTACTTCTACAAGCAGGCATTCAGAAACGTCACTTCTTTTTTAAGTAAATAAATAGATGGTGCGCTAAATCAATTGTCATTTGTCTTTTTATGTAAAACTAAATAACCTCTTTATCGGTTTTGTCTTTTGCTTTTTTTTTTCTATAAACAATGTCGATTCAAAGTTAGACTTAAAGTCACATTACCTACGGCGATCAGCAAGATTCCCCCCGCATGGTTGCCCACACAAAAGTCATGTTCTCGTGCTCTATCATTAAAACAGCGCCGGGTTCTCCCTATCTGTACTTTCCCGCAGCTGACCGGTATATGATATTCGACATTCATGACACTTTCGGTTGGCTACAGAGCGTGTTTTCTAGAACAAAGTGTTATATTTTTTTTTCTGGTTTGTCAGTAACGGACAGATTTGGGGCGAGCAGATGAACCGAAGCGAGGAGGAAAGAAGCGAGGCCACTTCCCCTCATTCTAACCGTTCGAGGAGGATCGGGACGTCGTTGTCCTTGCTTGATAGCGCCTTTCTTTTCCAAAAAATGCGGCCATCAGTTTGAGATGCCGATGTACGAGTGATGTATTTGAGTCAGTTGTAACCCGTTAAACGCTTCTGTGGCCTTAATTTTCGAAATCCAGATTTCGGTTCAGTATCCCTTTAGCCAGTTTTGAATAATACAATACCTTTTTAAGAACTCCGACATCATTTCCAACATTCCTGGTCGTCAAAAAAACAGTATCATAAGGACCTACATACGAATGCAGTTGTCCACACCCATTCCCCATGCAAACGTAACTCAACCTGACTGGTCTTTAAACAACAATCCTTCTAACAACATTTTTCAAACACGAATTTGTGTGTAAAATTAAAAGATAGTCTCCTACATTTCCGAACGACTATACTATATGCAAGTCAGCAAGGCCTTGAGTAATTCGAATGTCCAAAAACGCCAAAAAAGATGACATAAACCAGGGGCAACAGACGACCTAACACAAACGCCAGATGTCTGTAAAAAAATCACTGCAACAAACAATAAACAAAAAAAAGATTTTTTAACATTTTTGTTGCTAGCTCTTGAAGAACATCGAAACGTGTCCTGTCTTGTCGATCTCATGGTTGTCATCTAAAATATTCCCGGGGGTATTGCGAAATTTGTTGTTCAGTTGAAATTCTTATTTTATCGCAATTTAGCGTGCAAG